AGAACTACCATGAAAAACAGGGTGCAAATGTCCTCTGTTCCAAGCTCTTGCTCTAATGTTAGATACTTTTCTTAGTTCATGTTCTTCTCCATACCAACTGCTGATGGCAGCTCTAGCCATACTGATTTAACTCAGTGCTCTGCATGCAAAAGAGTGCTTTCAAAACAGTAGAAGTATGTGTTCTTGGCATGAGCCTGATAACTTCCTCACAGAAAATGAGAAGCCATCAGCCATGGAGTTCACCTCATTAGAATTCTTTAGACACAGATACGAAGGATTCGGGTGCTTTTTCATTGTTTATTACAATTAATTTTAGGTCATTACACTCAAGGGACACCTGCTAACTTCAATATGGTCAACATGTGCTTAGTATAATTTAATGAACTACCCCTTTCCATTTGGGAATATATATTGATATATTATTGGTGAAAGGTGCCAGACTGATAGAGCTAGCAAACAGATGTCCACTGCCTAGTTCCAGAACAAGAACTGTATAAGCAGCTGCATGGCCGTTGTCTTCACACTGCTCCACTAGTGAGACTCCAGCATGTTGAACTTTCATCCTTGCTTTTGAAACTACTGAAAACGTTGCCTCTTATTAATTGATATAGTTTTGCAAAGTGCGCTTGCAGCCTTTAGGAACTGGTATGGCACTTCCAAATCCATTGAAGAATCCAGTCAGCTAGTTACTAATGATCTGGCCTGAATTTGAACTAATAAAATAGGGAGGAAAAAAATACCCTATTACCAATCCCATGAAAATGAAGTCAGACCCACTGCCCATGCCTCGTGTCTTTCCTGTTTCTGTAGCAGTACAAAGGGGATTTAAAGGGCACTGCTGGATTTCCATGGCAAAAGGGAATCCCCTGCCAGGGTAAAGCTGGAATCTTATGCCATCTGATCATTCTTCCTTTCTCTCCACATTAAGGATGTTCTGGGACATAACCAGGGCAGAAAGGGACATGGCTACAATATAGTGTTCTCTTGACAATCCTGAGCCAGCAAAACGATCCTTAGGGGTGATCCCAGCTGGCATACATTAATGACCATTTGGCTGCTTTAACTTGCAATCGGGATGGTTCAGCCTCAGGCTCAGGCCTTGAATTAAAGGAGGTGGACAGGTGGCTTGCAGCCATGTTTGCCTCCCTTCCCCCTTCTGCTCAGTGCTCCTGGGACCTACACCCTGAATTTAAAAAAAGCCAAAAATATGCTGACTTCACCTATATAGAGTGGGACTGTGCCAGAAGCTTAAGTAGGTATTTAGAACTGTCCTTTGCACAGTGGTTAAAGAGAGGAGCAGGCAAGGGAGGTCACAGGCACCTTCCCTTATTACACAGTAAGGCTGAGTCCACTCTTTTGATCCAAGCCATTAATTTTATAAGGTTAACTGTGGGAGGGTTAAGTCAGTCTGAGATGATGAAGCCATGGCCGATCCAACTAGCTGATGAACCCTGAAAGTAAGTAGAAACTCTTCAAATTAGCATTTGGCCATTTTTATGGTTTCCAGTATGAAATTTGCCCTGCTAGAAGCTTTTCTTCTCTTGCCTGTGTTACAGCCCCTCCTCTGAGCAGAGGAGGAGGCCGGAGCTGGCCTCTGGGGCAGTGGGGAGCCCGTAGTGCTTCCCGCCGTCTCCCAGAGTGGTGGCTGGGAACGTGCCAGCGGGCTGGCAGAGCCAGATTAGCATGCTGGGTTTTTGTTCGGAGTCTGTGAGATGCATCACACAAGTAATTGATGGGTCTCTTCTCTAGATCTGAAATTAAAACAATGTCACTTGCATGTACTTTAATTTTAGTTCCTGACAGAGTGGGTTTTGTTGAATAGCTTACTGCAAAACACATGTGCTGTCCCATGTTCTGCACGGCTTATCTGAGTCTTTACCACAGTGTAATAAATTTGGCTTGTACTAATGAGACTATGTTTGCCAGGCTACATTTTTCATGCTTTATCTGCTGTTAAACATCCAACCCATTCTTTATACATTGCCAGAACACAAGCCTTGCACTTAGCCATAGTTCAGATGCTGTGGGATGACAGTGATATCTTGGCTGAGCTTCTCTGCCTTTTCCACCTCAGCCGTTTTATGGTCCGTCTCCACCTCCGCCCTAACTTGCCTCCTACCCCTCTGTTTACCCATCAACAAAACCTCCAGAAAGTGCTGATACTGACTTTATTTAGTGCAATGCAAATGTAGTATCAGCGTCTGGATTAAAAGCTACCAGTTCATTTTGTCTGAGCTAATGAACAGCCCCTGGATATCCACTGAGTCATACCTGAACAAATGAACTTGATTTTCAGTAGTCCCTGCTCCCCTCACGTAACCTGGCTGTCTCTTTTTGGCAGGGGGCAAAGCTCTAACTGAGGTTCTAAAATCCAATTCAAACAAGATTCAAGGCACACTGGGTGTTATTGATTTGGTAATATTTATGGAAATGAATGTAACGCTTTTACAGCCGGTATTGTTTATAATTACTATTTAGCTCATTGAAAAGGTTAGCGCATACTGAAAAAGTACAAGTGTATATGGAAGTTCCTTCCTGTCTTGCAGAAGTGATGATAAAGAATAAATTATTGAAGAAAATTAAGCATTGTAATTGGAGAAAGTTCCCCTATTACTAAGCAAAGCCAACCATTAGTATCAGATTTGCATTTTATACCATGCGGCAGGAAATATGTAAGTTGACAAATAGGATATTTAATACAGCAACAGATACTTGGCAGTTAGTTATTAACAACTGTTACTGATGTGATTTATTCACCATTATAAAAAGGGCATTACTATGTGAGTATGATTCAGAAATTAACTCCAGTTTACCAAGAGGCCTTGACTGCCTGACCTCTTAATATCCTTATAATGATGCCATTTACTATTCAAAGGCTTATTCAAGTCATTCACTGCTAGATTTGTTTTAAAGGGGTCCACTGTAGGGCAGATATTTGTGTGCGTTAACGTTTCTCATTGGTGTAGTAGACACGGGCATTTTTTTAAATGGGAAAAACTCATGGGTAAAAGAACGCTCAGGCTATTGGGGGCAGAGGAGCCTCACAGACGCAATCCCTGGAACTTCCTTCTGCTACACCTTGGCCACGGACCCATAGGTCTTGCATGACTCTTATGGCCCTTAATGTTTTTGAAACCCTCTGGAAGTTTATGTGAGGCTTTTATTATGTCCTGCACATGGGTGGGGAGAGGTTCCCTTCCACCTGTCCTCCCACGAACTCCAGCTAAGCCCAAAGGGCAGCAGATGCAAGCCTCCTGCAAGTGGCTGCTCTGCTGCCTCGCTCCATGCTCAGCAAAGCCGCAGAAGGCTTTGTGGTGACCCAGGCACCGCGCTTCTAGGAACTGCTGCAGTGGCCCACACGCTGGGCCTGCTAAAAGTCAAACCCATGAAGTGCCGCTTACGCTGTGGGTTCTTGAACTGATAATCTACTGCTGTTGTTGGTGCTGGACTTGCAGGATTTCATAGGCTCATTGCAACACGCAATGTGGTTACGGTCTGCAGGCAGGATGGATGTGCGGGTGTCTAGGGTAGTAGCTGTAATTTTGGGAGTCCTGCGTTTAAGTTCCTGCTTTGGCAGTTTGGTATCTTTGGACCTGAACCGCAGAGGTGATTTCTCTCTCCCTGATTGAAGTGGGGTTGCATGCTTCAATTCATGCTGGGAATTTGGGCACTAACAGCCTCCGTATGTTTATCAGTGCTGGCAAATGCTGAGTGTGCCCAGAAGCCCAAGACATTATGAGGAATGCAGTCCCTCACATTCGCTTTTCCCGTGCTGGCAGTCTGAACGCAGCTTAGGTTCAGTGTGCCTGTAAATTCGGTCTTGGGAAAATTGGTCTCCTTCTAGGAATTATCCTGGTCCATCTCCTCCACCTGACGTTGGCTGCACAGTGGCCTCACAGGGCAGAAGGGACAGCGGAAGTGAACAGCCCAGGCATGGAGTGCTGGGACCGCACTGTAAGGCTTAGCATATACGCAAGCTTTTTCCTCAGCCAGTATTTGCCGTGTCGCTCCTTACTGGCCTGCAGGATGTTCTCGGAGGAGAGTAGTGTAGGCTGGCAATGATTTTTAGCTGCAAGTCCAGCCTCAATGCTGCTCTTGCGCATCGAAGTACACCTACCACGGATGCCTGAGTTCCCCAGCTGTAAAATAACAACGTTGCTCTACATCAGAGGATGCTTCCCTGTGCATACCGTCTTCTACAAAACTCCACATGAGCGTTCATATCACTTCTGTGCTAGTGGGCAGCTCAATGTGTGATAGCTCAGTTTGTGAAAATGCCAGGTTTGTGAGACATGTTCTGCTAGCAGCCCTACAATCCTACGGCCTGATCCCCTCTGTGTAATTACACGAATATAAATCTGAAGTAACTGCACAAAACTGCAGAATGAGTGGAAGCAGAACTATGCCAGAAATCATATCATTTCCTACATGACCAAGTGTCTGCTGTTTGATAAGGCCATATACTGCAATGGGAATTGTCTTTGCTAAGCCCCTGTGATGACCAACGCATTTTTATATGCAGATTCCACAGTTCACTACTCCTTTTACTCATCGTTTAGATTTGCCTTCTGGACCTTCCTTTCTCCTACCTCAAAATATGTATTTGTAACTCAAGGTAGACTTTATCATTAGTTATTCTTCTGCTGAAAAATCCAGGCGCGGTATTTAGTATTTATAGAGTTAGTGTGATGCAGGCTATGCACTTTCTGAGCCCATCTATCTGCTTTAATTCTTACTGAAATCTTAGTAGTACGGGTAGCTGTTTTTTCCTTAGTCTTTCAGTTTTCTTCAGTAAGTCATCTCGGAAAGCTGCATAAGTTCTGATTGTTCCAATCTGGAAACTGTTTATCGCTCCCAGTGGTGTTCCAGCACAAGGAAATCATAATCATGCATACCAGCACGTATGAAAATAAAGGCATAGATGTTCCTTTAATATTCCTTTACATGACTGCTAAATTTCACCTTCCTTTTTTTAATGTGCCTGTTTGTGTTTTGATTAGGTGTGGGCAACAGACCTTGACCTTTGCTATAGTGACCAGCTGGCCTTGACTCAGCTCATGTTGTATGTGACAGATGGAAATCTGGATTGTCGCTCTAGCCTCTTTGAAGTATCACTTGGTTCAAGGAAAATGAAAAGCCAACGTATTCAGCGTGAAGAAACAAAAACTGTAAGCAATAATTTGTTTACAAATAAAATTATTAATGGAGATTACTCAAAAGTTAAAATGTGTCCTAGATCACTGTCCTGGAGCTGAATAACAGGACTACTACTATTAAATTTTAGAAGATTATTAAAAAAATTGGGACACCATCACAGCAGAAATTAAAACAGATGTTCTGGGTGTTTGCGGATGCCTGATTAGCTGTCCTTTATATTCAATAATATTGATTTATGGCAGCAACAAACTTCTAAGCATTCTGTGTAGTTTTTGTATTGTAAGAAATGTGGTACTTTATATGTTGCAAAAAGAAGGCAGGAGGTCAAAGCACTCCCCTGACAGTAGGAGTACCTTAAAAGCAGTCATTGAGTTAAACCCAAATCTTCATCCTCAGAGCCTTCATTCAGTTCTGCGTAGCGCTGGCGGCGTCTAATTCTTCAGTGTTAATTATGGACGCAGTCATTTGAACAGGGAGAAGAATTCGTGGCACCCTAGCCAATGTGAGTTCCCTCATCAGGAGTCAGGCTCCCTCTTGCTTGCTGTCTCTGGTCCAGGGTTATGAATCCCAGCTGGAAGAAGGCACCTGTCTGCAACGCAGAGCAAGATAACTAAGCCCTCAAGAGGAGAAAAGCTTAAACAATCGATGCCCCCTTCTCGATCTCACTGTTTTTTATTGCCAGTTTAGATTCTTCTGCACGTGGTGTATCACAGGTTATGAATTCCAGAGTGCTCAGCTCTCTGTGGGTGTTGTATACCAAGCCAAGGTGCTCAAGATTGTAGGTTTGGTTTTGGTGGCCACGCAGTTCAGAAATGTTGAGTACTGTGACACCTATTTCTTCTTCTGGAGCTCACCCTTAAGCTCTCTGAAAACTCTAAGAGAGCGTTCCTGATAGTGCCTCGCAATGATGATGTGATTTTAAATAAGACGATATTTGTACATTGCTTTGAAATCCCTATAATCACAGATGCATGGTTAACATACAGTGATTACTGCTTATTATGCTGATTTGTTATATTAGATCAATCTTTATGCATGCCTTAATACGGCCTATCAGCCTTGAGATTGTCCCTCTAAAAAAGGAAGAAACAAAAACGTACAGTCCTCTAGACAGAGAATATGAAAAAGATATGTATATAGATGTACCTATATAGATGCATTGGGTATATATAAATACATATATATAAAACACATATGCTATTTTACACATTTTGACAGAAGATTCACAACACTGTTTTCTCGTACGTAGAGGAGGAATGTCGCACCATTCCAAAAATGTCATAGAGCTATAATTTAGAGGTTAATGAGCTCTTGATCTATTGTTCTTGTCGAGCAACCACTTTTGGTTGGAGAGAAGTAAATTAGATATGATTAGTCCCAGTAGAACAAGTTTTAGAAATGAAAAGTAATCAAGTAGCAACTTTTTTTAATTAAAATTCTGTGAGAATTAACATAAATTGTCACTCTATTTTTCCTTCTTTCTGTATTTCTCAGGTTCTTATCTCCTTAAGAGTTAACTACAAAAAAGTACTCTGAAAATAGCTCTAGAAAAAAACAAACAAAACAAGAGACAAATGCTTTTACAGCATATGATCTGTAATGAATGATTAAGTAAAACACTTTGTGTAAAATTATGATGTTAATAATGATTCTGTCCCTTTTAATTTATTATATATGCTCAGTCCTGGTAGGTTTGATTTTGATAAAATGGAGCAGCAACTGAGTTTGTATGATGATTTTATTTTTAGAAATCCTTCTTTGAAAGAACAAATTTCCTAGATACTGCTGCTACTGTAATTATGTACAAAACCAATCACTCATTATAGTTAGGATACATTATCTTCTAGACAGATGAGGCTAAATAAGCAACACATTAATAATTCATACTGCAGTTCATTATGCATGTGTATGCATGCTTTGTAGCTGAAATAAGCACCTCATCAACCTGATGCCAACCCTTAAACAATAGTTCTGTGTTATTGCAGCCACATTCAAGTTTACGCTTGTTAAACTGCTACTTGGATTATTTTATCAAGCATTCATTTATTTGTGGTCCCCTACTGCAGAGAACAGATTTTGGAAGCTCCTTTTTTAAGTTAATGACTTGAGCAATGGGTGTTATTAATTCTCAGAATATTATAAACATGATTAATTTTCAGGCAGAGATGTATTATATAAGGATTTCAACTATGTCAACCTCAATGAGTCAATGTCAAAACAAATATCATTTTAGAAAAAATACTGTAAATTACATGCTTCAACGTGCAGTATCCCCATTCTTGAACAAACAGCCCAATATTACACAGAATATCACAGGAAAGCCTTACTTTGGGAGAACATCTCTTTTCAATTCTACTCAACACCTTTATTTTTTTGTCTTAAGCACTGATAGAGTTTAAACTCAAATGTTGTACTGACTTTTATCCACAGTATGAACTCCGCTGAGATCAGTTGTATAGCTCACATCAGATCTATTACTAGGCTCTTCTCCTAAGTCAGGTACGGATTTGCCAGGGAATTGAGGGGAACGTAGCCTCCAGAGTGCTGCTAAATGTGGTATGTGTGCTCTGGTGTCGAATGTCATTGCTGCATAGCCTCCCACTCAGATCTCAGCTGCGTGCTTTCCTATAAATACAACCCTTAGTCACTCTAAACTCTAAGTTAATTAAGAACAATATTTAAGATTTAAGGTTTTCTACAGTAAGTGTTAATTACTTTGTGACAATTCTGACATTTTAATAAAGGACGAGTTAGAATTAATATTTCCTTGGCATTAATTCAGCAATGATTGCCACATAGGACTGATCTTGGAATGGTTGTACTCTTGGTGCTCTCCTGTTCCAGGGTGAGCAGCACAGGATCGTTTGTGTACTCAGTCCAGTATCAAGCCTTTAGGCAGAGCAAAACTACAAGGTGTTGTGGTTTAGAAACTCCTTGGAATCACTGGGCCTAGTCTCCTTACAATCTTGCTGGAAAAATTATGCACACTAATGCAGGAGTTGCATCCTCAGTCTTGGAGAAACCAGCTTAAAATTTGGCTTTAGAAAATCTGTTTAAAACCTTTTCTTCCCAGTGCAAAAACTATTAGTTATCCACCCTGGAATTTCTGCTATCAAGAAGAAAGCTGAGCTTTGACTCCAGAAGAACATATATTTCTGCATAGGAGGGTGGACTTAGAATATCCTGACCATATCCATTTAGAATGATTACACAGAGTTCAGGTACTAATGAAGCTGTAAAAATATCAGAATGTGGTTCATAAAGACTGATTCAGTAGAGCTTATCTATAATCTAAGGTTTTATGTACAGTATAAGGTGAGAATAGAATCCTGCTGCATAGAAATGTCTGTGTTCAACAGACATTGTTATGAATGGGAATTCCTCTACATGGAGTCAATGGACTTACTCCATATTTACATGAATACAACTGAGCAAAAAAGCTGTTTGTTTAAATAGCAAATTATCAGTGTCTGATATAAAATGGTATGAAAATGAAGAGTCCTGTGTTGTTTTCTCTAGCTTTCTCCGGTAAGCAACCGCTGTGCAGTAGCAAGCAGTCAGCTGAGGCACTCCAACCTTTCAGTAATCTACTATAATGTTCTCCTCCAGATGTGTAAAGCTCATGGTGTTGGATTTGACCTCCAGGTATAAAAAGGAATGATTAGAAAATGTGATACTCACTCTGCATAATTTCTGTATGTAAATTCCAATGTGGTGAAACCATTGAGCACAATGTAAAGTTTAAATGTTATGTTTAGCATAATATAATGCTTAAGTGTTCTGTTCTATTAGCCTCAGAACACTGCAAGGTGTTTGCTCTGGAGTTTTATTAAGAGGACTTGGAAGTAAAATAAGTACTATAAATCAGAATAAGTTTTATTTTATTTTGCTAATTAGCAAACTCTAAATTGCTTAGAGGTCTTTAGTAGTTCCCGTAAAAATTAGTCTAATATTGTAACACTTATCTATCAGTTTACTTTAGCTGGAGTATAGTTTGCTGACTCTTGAAGAACTGCAGTACTGAGAGATCTGTCTGATTTGGCTTAAGATTGGAAGCGGTGAAGGGTGAAAAGTATTCCAACATGTTTATGTTGCACAGTAGAGTGTGTGAGGGCCTCTCTCTCAGAGGCCACTGCGAGAATGCTGTCCCGGGCTGCTGCTTTCACGTGGCTCTGCTGGTAAGAAGGATTATGGCTGTCAGCCAGGGGCTGTGCTTGAGTTCAGGCCCATGCCAGCATGGAGTTCTCATGATCACAATATAGCTATTTCACATATCTCTGTATGTATGATATAGGTATACCAATATAATATAGGTATACCTATATCAATAAGTCAAGTGATAACAGAGAACAGAAAGAGGGAAGAAGAAAGGAAAAAGCAGTCTTTGCTAGGAAGGAGAGAGTTTGAGGCTGATAAACAGAATTATAAAAAGAGAAGGAAGAAATGTAAGAGTATAGAAGGTGTTATGCCAGATGGAACAGCAGATAGAAAGAGACTGCAAATCCTAGGGTACAGAGTTTCACTGGGAAATGCGGTTTCACATGTCCCAGTGCAAAACCTCCTTGAGGCCTGATAGCAACTGTTCGTGAGACCTCTCGCAGTTCCACGTGTAACTGTCGCTCAGCACATCGAAAACTCTGAACCGTGAATTCTGCTGCTGACCAAACTGTCACCAGTATCCTATGGCCTATGATGAATCAGAACAGAAGCTTAATAAAAGTTCATGTCCAGTGAATATCTAAGGTAAAGCATAAAGTTTAAGAATATGAAAATCTGAACATATTTTCACTGTCTTTCAATTTAAGAGTGTGTAAGGCTTTTATGGGTTAACCTGCCTCTTGATAAAATAACTGTGTAAAGAGATCATTTGTAAGATATTTTTAATTATCTCCTACTGTGTCTTACACAGTATTTGCTACTGAATAGACTCTGACAGGTGTGTATTGTATTTACATAAAGTTAACGTAGTGTATTCTCTACAGCAAACTAATTAGAGCAATAATCTGCTTACAGTAAGCAATATTCTATTACATACAATTCAAAACTAGCCTTTCTTAGATATGATTATGTACTTACTGTCCCTGTACAATATATTTAGTATCCATTATTGTAACTATCAGTTTTGGGAATAATTACAGTAACTTTATTTTTCAATTTAACAGGAAAAGCAGGGAACAGTTTTTATATTGTATGAAGATCAGAAGCGATACAGATTGGGAATGTTGTAAGTATACACTGTCAGTTACATGGTTAGACAAGCAGTTGGCAACACGCTTGATCTGAAAAGAATGACAGCACAGAGTTCGCTCTCTTGGGTTCTAATAAAACTTGCAGGAAATGCACAGTCGGAACACCAAGCACTGAACACAGAAGTTCAGTTAAAGTCATCCACTGTTCCAAGGACTATAATGACCTCTCATAAGATTGGTCTTTTGAAAAATTTTAGGGAGGCTTTAAGCACTTAAGTGGGAAAAAAAAGAAAGTACAAGAATCTACTTAGATTAAAGTCTAACTGCCCTGCAGACTAAAGACATACTGCAGTTAGCTTTACAAGAGCTAGATTCAGTGTCAATAGCAGTCTAGCTGAGAGAGCACAAAGATTAGCGCAGGCTGATTTTCCCTGCTTCTTGGTGGTATAAATTAAGGGATAAGTATAACGCAAAATCAGAACAGCCAAGTCAGAAAATGATCAATACACAGTAAGAGCCACAAATATTTCCAATTGCTCTGTTAGAGTAAAACTAAGGATAGGAAACCATTTGCCTGCTACGTAACAGTATGAAAATCATAACCGTAGATGATGTTAAAAAGGGCAGTGCTTAATGCCTTTTTATATCGTTCTTCACATAGTGACCAATGGCAGTCAGAGGGAGAAGCAGCAGCAGATTTGATACTTTAGTAGTAGTTGAGACGTATGAATCTCTCCTAAGCAGGCTAAGAAAGCATAATCTGCACAAACCTACTATACACAGATTGAAAAGCTCCCCTCAGAGAAAGCTTACATGGAGTGTGCTGTCAAAATAGGGTGCACTGAGTGAGGGTCTGAAATTGTTTGCTCTCGATCTGGAGCTATTCCTTTGGTGCTGGTGCTATTTCATTAATGACCTGGATAAGGGAACAGCTTACTGGTTTGCTAGATATGACTGCAGGTATTTTGGAGGACAGGAATAGAATTCAAAATTATCTTGGCATATTGGAGAAATGATCTGAAAAATAGAATTATGTTCAACTGGAACAAGGTGCAAGAAATTACACTTGGTGTTATGCCAGTAATGAAGATGAAGAACAACTAGTTAGTTTTCTAGAAAAGGATCTGTGAGTTAAATTGGCTCACAAACTGACCACAAGTCAACAATGTCCTGATGTTATGGAAAAAGTATACTATAGACTCATAGGTAAAAAATACAGCCTGCAAGACATTGGAAGTAATCTTTAGTTCTACTCAGTGTTACTACGGCCTTAGTTGAAGTACTGTGCTCTATTTTGGGCACAGAAAAGCTGTGAACCAATTGGTGAGTTCAAAGGGAGGAAATAAAGATGTTTAGAAGTCTAGAAAACATGACTTAGAAGGAAAGACTGAATGGGAAAAAAGAGGAGACAGAGGTGAGATGTGCTAACAGTCTTTAAACACATAAAAAGCTTCTGCAGGAAGGAAAGGAATAATCTATTCTCTGTGGCTTTGATGGTAGGAGAAGAAGAAATGGACTTCACTTGCAGCAAGAAAAATTCAGGCTTAACCCAGGAAAATTTTCTGACAGTAAGGAAAGTGAAGCGTTAATAGATCGTTTGGCGAGGTTGTCATTGACCGTCTTTAGTAACAGATTAGACAAACATCTGTCAGGATTGATATAAGTAGCATTGATCCTGCCCTAGCGCAGGGAATGAACTAAATGAACCCTAAAGATTGTTTCTAGCTTTATGGTTCTATCAGCCTGTACTGAGCTTCTTGTGGAGCTGTTGGCCGTACCTAAGCGAGCCAGATTTGTTCAAAGCTCAGGTATTCCTGTACTATATACTACACTCACTTGCAGTCACAATGTAGGCACCTTACATGACAGAGCTGGAAGATAACTTTGAAATAAAATCACTAAGCAAGAACTTGGAAATATCCAGGGTAGCCCTTTAAAAAGTGATTTAGGTTTCTGAAAGTGTTCCGTAAGCAGCGAAACTCCCCTAAAAGCTCACTTGATGCTGAAAGGTGGGCTCCTTCCCTCCCCAGCCCCAGCTATGAAGTCCTCCTCACTCCTGTCCCTTTTGCATAGTCTCTGGTACATTTACACCCTCTATGCAGCTCAATAACTCAGCAGAAAACTTTCTCTTTTATTAGGTTAGTTTTCTGTGAGGTTAAAATAGAATCAGTTCATAGAGTGGTATATAGTGAGCATGAGAACTGTGCAAGATAAATGGGGAGACTCTGGAGAGAGATGGGACCTGTCCTTCTCCGAGCCAGTGAACTGTTAGACTGGCTTATCCCTGTTGGTGTGATTTCACTTTTAACTGTTAGCCAAGTATCTTGGAAAATGGAGTCCTTAACTTAGAGATATTCCATCCTATTCAATTTTTTTTCTAACTCCTTTAGAATGATACATGAGTAATTGTTTCCTGCTATGTAACATAGCAGCACCTCTTGGATCAGCAGCTGAGACTGGTCTCATGAACTCTGCTTGTTGAGTAGGTGATTACATATTAATATATTACTACAGTACTGTCAAATATATTTGCCAGAAAGAAGTGAAATCTGTCATTCACACATCCTGATCTCAGATTTGTCTTCCATCACATCCTATGCAATTTCATCATTTTAATTTGAAAACATTTCCAAGGATGTAACAATTTGATTGAGGCTATAAAATCCTGAAATAATTGAAACATCTATATGAGTTATCATGCATTTTACTATATTGTAGATCTACTCATTGTCAGTCCTAGTCAGTAAATGAGGCACATTCTTCCTCAGTACAATATTCTATTCCTCAAGATAATATGTATTGAGAGTCTATATGTACCACTGAGAAACTAAAGCCTCAAAAGATAAAGTTTATACTTCTAAGCAAGCTACAACAGCCTAAGAAATGCTGATGCTGCTGAATTTCTCTGTATCAGATGTGTTTTTCAGAGTATGCAGGCTGAAGCAACAGTTCTTTTAAACTAATTTAGATGTTTGAAGTGTTCTAGTGTCTCTGTCCTAATTCAGTGGTGGCCTTCTACTTGGAATAGCTGAAAGCTACTGCTTACTTCTGCCGAGTTGATTAATAAAAATTATTTATTACACAAATCCTTTCTGTTGACAAGTTAAAATGGAGCCTCATCTTTCATATCTCCCTGAAGATTGCCACCTTGTGAGATTGAAAATACTCATTAAATTCCATCACCAGACAGGCACAAATGAGAGGGCGATTGTTTTTAAGCATGTGAAGGGAATCATTGGTAAACTCATTTGTTTGGATATCATTAACAGAACAATCGGAGAGGATCTCCAGGGGGTCCTCATGACCTTTGCTCGCAATCTCTTCATCATCCATCAAGAAATATCAGCACCTAATATGCAAGGCGAGACCAATTTTAAGGTGAGGTGTTAATTAACTAACGATCCTGGTTAATTTCTGTACAAGGGCTGAAAATACCTCATGCTGTATCATAAACAAGTGCTAAACCATCCCTTTTTATTGTTAGCAGTTATGTATTTTACAGTGTCTAGGTCAATATAGTAAGTCTCCCAATGAACCTGTTAGTTAAATTTAATAGTTTGAAACTTTTTCTTTGAAAATAGACGTACTTCAGCTTGAAATTATTTGTGAACTAAGTCTCCGAAGCTTCTGATTTTCCCTTGTAAGCAGCAAAGGAGCTATTGGTGCTGCCTTAGAAAATTTTGTCGTAATTGTCTGTTTTATTTTTAAAGGGACGTCATGAAGATAGAAATATGAAATTAGAAACAAACGTCTCATTTTGTAATAGCTCCTTAGATTAGTAACACTAATTTATTTTAAACAGGCAGGCACTGAGTACTTAATGCATTGGTTTCACCTCTTGCAACTCGCCATCAATTTTACAAGTCAATTTATTTCCTGTTTGCGCTGCTCTTTGAATCTGCCCAGTCTCCCCCATCCCTGAGTGCCACAGGATGCTCAGGGATGGCGCCTGCGGAGGTAGACAAAGCACTGGCGCTTGTTACAGTGGGAACGTTCCCCCAGGAGCACATACGTTTACTCTAGCTCTTTTGTGACAACTTTGCTGGCAAAAAAAAAAAAGAGAGAGTAAAGCAATAACGAATCCAACCCTGTGCCCTGAAGCAAGCACACATTACAGTGCTTCTTTTCGATTCTAGAGAATAGCTTAACTTTTCCGAGGGAGTTATTTTGCTAAACTGTATGCCCTTTAACTTTACAAAAAGTTTCTAAGATCTTGGCTGTAAGCGTTTTGTTGAAAGTGAAGGGAAACACTGTGTTGAAGATTTGTGTCTTAAGTGACATAACATAATTTAAATCTGGTTCTTTTCAGTGTTAGCTATGACTATATTTTCCTCTGATAAGCAGAGTGTGAAATGACAGTTCTAGAAAAGATATAATTAAATTTCAGCATGTTACAGAATAAATAAGCAAACAAAAAAACCCTCTCTTTTTGATCTGAGGGAGTGAAAAGCAACCACTGAAGAAAATTCTGTAAGGGAAATCTTCTTCATAGCGGTTTAACAATTATTTACATATGTGAAATAAAACACCTGCTAGTTAATTATAAATACAAATTGCATCAGGTTATATTTTTTTATGTACCTGAAATTTGTACATACTTAACAATTCCCCCTGACTGTCCCACAGTAATAGTAGATTTAACTGGTGCATCCTGACCGGTATAATACTGGTTTACCTTTTGAAGAAAAGGACTACCAGCTGTGTATTTTGGCAGCTCGATTTCATTATAATGCCCATTAAATAACTTGTATTCCTTGAATCTGTTACAGATGGCAATTCAAGATATTGAAGCAATTCTAGGAATTACAGCAGAAAACAAACTGAAACTGGAAGAAGAGCAACATTCTGAAGCAGATGCTCTGAAAGAATAGTTAACAGAAAGCGTTTTAAGTGCCATATTCTTTATGCTTCCGCAGACAAACTCTCATCTGTAAGAACAGGTTTGGTTTTCCTTTGTACTGTGAATTAATATTAACCGAGACAGTCTATGTCAATGATACTTGAGTGTAATGTTTAATAGCGTATCCCTTATTTCACAAAAAGAAACTGGTGAAAAGCAGATGATCATACAAATGTCCCTGATGTTCCTATTGTGAAACCTGAAGTACAATATCTATTTTAAAAATCTTGTTAATAGAACCATAGTGTCTAAGGCAGAGGAGACAATCTACTTCCACCTGCAAAGCGCACGCCTTATAATTTTACCACGATTCCTCCATCAAGCCGATAACATATAACTGAGCTTGTCATATCTACGTAAAAATAGGTGGCAAACAAACCACCAAATCCCTAGTTAATTTTCCCATTGGTTAATTATCCTTACTGTTAAAGCAGTGCCTTAAACATAGTCTGCATCTGTTTACCATCAACTTCCAGCAATTGGATCTTGTTATGCCTTTATCTGAGAAAACGAAAACGAAGAATTGTTTACTACAAAATAACCCCTCTCTTTGTGGGATGAATCTTTCTGTTTCTTGAACCAAAACTCCTGAGTCAGGTTTGGTTTGCTAACATCCCTCTAGAAGCATTGTACCCAAACTTGATAAAATATTCCAATGATTTTCTCACTGATGTACTAATACAATGAAAATGCCACTTTCTTCTGTTTTATATGGCCCTCAGTATATATAGAGGGATCGTGCTGTCTTGTCACTAAATCGTACTAGCAGATCATACTCATTTGCAAAGAATCCTGTGACCCCAAACTCCCTTTCAAGCGAACCTCCCTCTTCTTCCCAACCTAAGAGCATGTCCCGTATTCTTTTTTCTGTAAGTAACACACTTAGACACGCTATTGTATCAATAAGCCCAGCAACCCCAACTCCTCTTTAGAGCTGGTTGTCCTTCTTGTTATCATTCTGCTATTTCTTGTGGTCTGCAGACTTTGGCAGCAGTTATGTTCACTTCCAAATTATTGAAAATAACATTGGTTCAGCAACAGATTCTGAGAAGAGCATTAGAATCATACGTGTTGTATTATGGTTTCTGATATACCATGACTTTGGGAGATCTATGTATCCATCAAATATATTCTATATTTCAGGCACTGCTGACTTTCTTTTATAGGAATTGCTATGTGCTGTTACAGGAAAGTCTTACCAACATCTGTTATATTTGTACAATTATCTTTATCCATCAAATCTGTCATCTCATCCAGAAAGATAACACATTCTAAATTGTACTGTACATCTTATCTTTCTCTACTGGCTGTATATAACAGTCCTGAGCATGGTAAGTATCTTTAAGCTTACTTCCCAAAAAGTTCAAGCAAAATCAGTTTGTAAGGCAAGTGACCATCAATGTGACCAAGCAGTTGCAGCAGATCAGTGCCCTGCTTTTCTGATGTCTCTCTGGGTCTTTGGTCTATAAGCTTCATGCATAATCTTTTGTGTTAGCCTTTTTTCTATCTTAGTTGCAGAGGTAATTCATTACAGATGAGAATGTTTTACATAAATGCCAACCTACTCTTCAAATAAAAATCTAAAAGGACGCATTTGCTTACAATTTTTGTTCCTTTCTGTCATGTAATCTTGATATTGTCTTGGTTTTGGATACACCAGGGCCCATGCAGATTTTTCTAATGTTGAGATTTAGCCAATGGATTTGCTTCCTAGAAGTCTTTTTCCTCTATGATTAGAAATGAAAGTAACAGAAGGGTTTTTTTGGCTGTGGTGGGTACGACAAGGATCTCCCTTGACAAGAAATAATATGTCAAAATGCATAGTATAATCGCTTAGTTCTTCAGACACAGCTCTGTTCAGAAAGGACAAGAGGTGTTTTTTTTTTTTTTTTATCTTTTGTACTCTGAGGGCCTGCAAACCAGGATGTTTTTATGACTTTTTCCTCAACACATTTGTAATATACTCTCTCATATTTTGCTGCCAAGAAACTCCTTCTAGATTTCTCACCTAGCTTCATATCCAAAGTATATAATGCCCCAATTTGGTCAATAAAAACAATACTCTGAGGGGGAAGGAGGCATGGGAGAGCATGGCAACATCAGCGTAGGAGTTAGCTAGTTTCTTAAGGGTTAAGAAAAATGAAGCCTTGATCCAAGCCAGAACAACATAAGGTCTGAGAGGCTCATTAGTTCACTGGCACTTAATAGACTTCAGCGTCCTAGGAGTAAATGAAACCTGCACTTCCTTATGTCTTTGTTCTGTTCTGACAAAAGAAAACTGTACCTGTTTTTGCATAGACCAAGTGATCTAAAAGTTCCCATGGTGAGAGAGATTTCTCAGTATGTGCAAAGTGTGAAATGTATTTCGAGGAAAAAAGTTTTTAATTACTATTAACACTTCTGAGCCTTGCACTGATGGAAGAATTGAAACTGCTTTACAGTTTCTCACATTCAACTCCCATGCTGCTGGTGCCAAAAATGTATTTTTTTCAGCAACACAGCAGCTATAAACTGAAATTCTAATCTTCCAAGAAAAAAATATACATCAGAAACATAGTCATGGTTCTTGCACTCAAAGCACTAGATTATTTATTCCTACTCACTGAAGGAATGACATGAGTTCTTGAATTGTAGCTCGAATTTTAGCACTATTCATAACATGATCTAGGCTGGAAAGAAAATGGAGCAAGTAGGAAATGTAGGACTCAGAACATAAAGGGGGCTCAGGCATGATTGCGCATCAGAAATTGCCAAAGAATTCTGCAGCTAATGACAGAGCAAAAACCCAGGCTGGTTCCACAGCTGCAAGGTGTGGAGGAATGTTTGCGGAATGAGATGAAGGGAAATGGGGTTTGGCAGTGACTGCAAAAGGAAATTAAAATAAAGGTTTCATGCTTGTGATGGGCCAGGGCTGCAAATAAAGACATGCATTCAAGGATCATGAAAGGTTACTTCAAAATATAGCTGTGTAAAACATGTTTTTGCAGAAATTCACATACTGTCTGTAGCATACATGCTACCCGTTCCAGGTTATTCTCCTCACTCTGTTGCCATCCAGTACTGGAAGCGCTCAGATATCTGTACGTGCCTAGATGTTTACCAATACATTTTCCCAGGCACCTAAGCTTGTTCAAGGTGCGGCTAGAAATGTCTCAAGGCAAAATGCACCAAAGGCCAGTGTAGCTTTTTCAGCATCCTTAGACACCCTGGGTCATCTTAAAAGATGCCTTACATAACCAAATTACTTCTCCATGCAAGTGTAAAGGAGCTGTTTAGAGTATTGTGATTCCTGTCCTGTAGACTGTCACTTAGCAGTGCACGTGCTGCCACGTATCATGGCAGCCACGTATTTTTGTGGCTTCTGCTGTTGGTCTTAACAATACTGATAGCTCAGTTGCTGTCTCACAGCTTTGTTCTTTCAAGATCCATAAACTTGGAGGCCTGTTTCAAAATCAAAAAGCAGAACAGCCTTTCACAAAGTACAGCTCTTTTATACAAGTAGATCTACACTGAATTTCCTTTTTCCTGAAAATATGGAAACCCACTGCTCATTTGGGAGTGCTCTAACCGTTAACTCTAGGGTATTTTGCAGTGCGCTTGAAAGTACTTTTGATCCTTCCTGCAAAAGCTCTTCCTCTTTGCGCTGACCATGCAAACATTTTGAGAGCTAGAGTGAGCACCTCCACAACATAAGGTTACAATAGATGGGAGACTTTTCTTGACATCCCGGGTCCTGGTCAGTTATCTTTGAAGTGTTCTGCATTAAACATTGCCTGGACTAGATACTGGAACCTGAGTCTCTGTGTTCAGAGAGCCGTGCTTAAAGAGGTGCAAAACAAACAAACAAACAAACAAACAAAGGTATTCAGCCCAAGTTTCCACATTCAAAGTGAGAACTCTGAGCGCAAAGCCAAGAAAGGAGACCATCAGCACAAGCTCTTCCGGCTGTCTTTTGAAATATTGACCTTATCCATTTCTTGAAAGATCTTTGATACCTCATTCAAAGGGAAAGTTCAGGAGAATTCATTACCTTGAATCTAGGTTAAGGTAACAAAGCCCTGGAAATATGACTATTGTGATCCTCAGCATTTCACTCTCACTGCCTAGTATGGTTTCCCATTAAGCAGATTAATGTATTATGGATCTGAGGTACTCCTTATGGTATAGGGATACTCTGTATTTCTTTTTTTACCACAGATGTTGTTATAGCAGTCAGGCACTAAAGATTAGGTACTACAGTGGTTAACAACCTTCATGAATTTAATTGAGTGTATCTTCTTGACTAAAGAATGGTTAGACCGTTTTTCAGCTTCATCACAAAGATGAAGACTTTCAGGAGACTGTTTTGATATAAGAAACAATGTAAGGCTATACCAGAATGCAACAAACACAGAGACCTTAACTGTGCAGCCAAATATTACTAAAGGGAATACGTGTGGAATGACGTTCCAAAATGCTTTCAGCCTCACCTTTGAAAAATTGGATGACTGGCCATGATTCTTGCATACTCTTGAAGTATGCAATGTTTTGCTACTCATTTGTAAATACAGATGATATTTCATTGCATCTATGTTGTGCAAGTAGACATGCATCTACACGCTCGTAGCTAGTGAAAGGTTACGTTGCCAGAGGCTGTAGAATTATTTCTCCTTCTTCGTGCACTTTAACCAGTAACAGCAACATAAATTTACCTGCAAATATCTTGAAATTAATACTTTTTAAAACTTTACTTTTTAAAAAAGTAATTGCTATCACATATGTTCCGTAGCTTTACAAGCAACATGTATTTATTGGAAGTAATTTTGACCATGAAATATAATAGCAGAGTATCGCTCTTAGACCATGTTACATTGGGACAGCCCTTCACCTCAGTGAACCGCAGTATCAGATTCCTTTCTTAGCCTCAGTCATTGTTGCCACTAACAAAGAAAGATATTAAAGCAAACTATATGCTCTGTTAATTATAGGAAGGTGAACTTGAGTCAAATTTGTTACTGGCAATGATTAATAATTACTGGTTCTGCACACATGTAGTACATTACAGTAAATAAACAGGGTGCATTGCTGGGTAGTAATTGATTAATTAGCACATTCATACTACATAGCTCAATGGTTTAAGATTGCTGAGTTTGAGATATT